AGAAACCCGTTCCATATATAAAACAAAAGTTTCACAAGACCACACTGACCTTTGCCATGTACGGCGCACTCTGATCTTTTCTAGTTTACTCTGTTATATTGGTAATTTATATTTTTAAATACTGGTAGACATGTGACCACAGTAGAAGCCATCCTCCGTGGTCAGCTCTCTCGCAGAGCCCCGTAGGAAGAGCGGGCAGCCTGCTTCCCCCGCCGGCTGTTGAGATGTGCTCTTTCCCACAGCCTGGCGGACTCTGCCTCTTACTGTACTGAAGGCCGGGACCATTTGAGGAGTGGGGATTAAACAATTGGTCCGGCTGACTTAAGGATCCTGACTTCTTTAAGTACACTTACGATGAAAAGCTAATTTTGAAAAAGTATTGGTAGGAGATACTGTACAGGAAAATGATCTTTTTGGTATTACAGGTAGAAGCTGGAAAAAAAAAATACTACAAAAGAAAGTGAGATTAAGTGTTAGGATTGGGCTGTTCATTCACAAGGTCTGTCAAGTCCAGTGTCCTTTGTCATTAGAACTCACTTTGTCTTCCATTTACCATGGTTGCCTGTTTTCACTTTGGCAACTGAATGGTGCCTTGATCGCCTTCGTACTAACATTTATTTCATCGCTTACAGAAATTTCCTTAGCCTCTGTACCAGTTTTCAGAGCTGCCAGCACAAAATACCACAAACTGAGTGGCTCAAACGACAGAAATTAATTTTCTCCTGGTTCTGGAGGCCGCAAGTCCAAGATCAAGGTGTCGGCAGGCTTGGTTTCTCTCGAGGCTTGTCCTTGGCTTGAGACGGCCGTCTTCTCCACATGTCTCCCCCGACCTTTCCCAATCTCCTCTTCTTACAAGGACACCAGTCAGAGGCAGTTAGGGACCACCCTAAAGGGTTCATTTTGACTTGATCACCCCTCTAAAGGCCTTAGGTCTAAATGCAGTCACATTCTGAGGTCCTGGGGGCTAGGAGTGCAACCTAGGGGTTTGCAGGGGAGGGCATGGTGGGAACACAGCTCAGCCCATGGCAGCCTGCGAAGCTTTGCTTCAGCCACAGGTGCAGGAGGTGGGTACCACTGCAGCACGTGAGCCTGGGTCAGGCTTCTAAACGGTACCTGTGGTTTCTCGGCCTCAGGGAGAACGAACGCCGACGTGATGACCGCCCTGTCGCAGGGCTACCGGATGCCCCGCATGGAGAACTGCCCGGACGAGCTCTACGACATCATGAAAATGTGCTGGAAAGAAAAGGCCGAGGAGAGGCCCACGTTCGACTACCTGCAGAGCGTCCTGGACGACTTCTACACGGCCACGGAGGGCCAGTACCAGCAGCAGCCTTAGGGCGCAGGGGACTCAGGCCACTCACGGGACGGCTGCCTCCTTAGGAAGGAAAACGTAACAATCCCTGCTCACTAGTTATTTCCTGGGCTGGGGTCACCGGCCACCCCTGCTTCCCACACACAAGGCTAACACTCAGGAAGAACACCCCCCATGGGAAAGGATTCTGCTCGCAAGGGCCACTGCCCACCAGTGCGTGGCCTGGCCTGCTCCCCGTGGGCAGTCCGGCCTCGCTAGACCAACCTCTGGACACGGGCTTCTGAGAAGACAACACCTGTCCCACCAAAAGTGCACCCATGTCGGCCTCATGTTTACAAGGGGGTGTGTGACTCAGAGGTTCAGAGGCCATTTCAGTAAATCCCAGACAGGAGCACAGCTAAACTCATTTATGAAAGTAAAATAACATATGCCTTTCATGACGCTTCTTTGTATTTTCTCTAGGCTTTAGCTTCTCTGTTTAAAAAAAACAAATTTACTAATCCAACCTGTTAGATTTTGCAGGTGAAGTCAGAAGCTTCAGTGTCGTTCCCAGATTTCAGTGATCTCCCACCCCCTGCAATCTGAAACTGTTCAGTGTTTCCTTCGGTGGAGGCCGCTTAGAACCCCAGCTGGGAAAAGGGGGTCTCTTTCCTTGAAAGTGTCACCTGCAAACAGACAGGGCAGCCGTGTTAAGCGACATGGACCGCCCCCCGCAGCAGCCGGGGTTTGCCCAGACCACCCTGGAAAGGCGCTTTAGAAACTGCTCTGCCATAAGAAGGAATACTTTTTAACGGTTCAGCTTTTCAAATCCACAATTTCCTGTATCCAGACTTTTTTGGACAATGTAGTTTGGAAGAACAATAAGATTCTGATCTCTGCAGAAACTTCTAGGGCCTTACAAAACATCAGAATTTTCTTTATTGCTTCAAGTGATTTTGAATATTGTTTTAATGATCAAGTATTCATTTTAGTCAAACTCTAGAAAGTAACAATGCCATATTTGGGGGCTATTTCTGTGATTCAGCAATCTTTTCTAAATTGTGTAAGGTCTGTGTGAGACTATTTATATGAAGATATGATGGAAAATAAATGAGTCAGGAGGCTCCAGTGAGCCACTGGAGCAAGAGAGACGAGAGGTTTTGTTTATTCAGTTTTTCTACTGTAAAAGCTTTGAATGGAAAATGCTATATCACATCACATTTCACTTATGCTGTTGTGTACATACCTAACATTTCAATTTTTAATTTTATTTTAATACACCTGGCCCAGTAACGCGAAGCTTTTCACTGGTGTTTAACATTTCCTACTGTCATCAGTATAAAAATGAGTACCAGGTGGTGGGGGTGGGATGAGAGGTGATTCCATTAGATACATCCTTTAAAAAATTGTATACAAGTTCTACCTCCATCTTTTGAGTGTTTTCAGATTGGAGAATGGAGGAGTTGCTGGGCTGGACAGCTGATTATCCCTTTATGGGGGCCCAACAGGATTTGTTTTCAAACAGGCTTAGCAAGCACCATTACAATTTCACTTTGTTTGTGTTGCCTAGATGTTGGGTGCCTGGGGAAAGGGATGGAATATTTTGCTTTCCCTAAATTTTAACTTCTTTTCCCGTGTGATCTTTTTTTAAAACAAAAACAAAAACAAAACGGTCCTTTCTAAAACAGTCTAAAATTCTCAATTCACAAGAGCCATCTCCACACAGGTGAACTATTATCATCTAATGCCTGCATAGCTGGTCACCTGATTCGCCAGGGAGCATCTTCTACAAACACCCACCTGTTCACGCTTTAGTTCAGAATCACACACGTGACCCAGCGTGGAGAGAAAGTGTAAGGAATCCCTAAAGCAAAAAGAAGTCTCTAAGAAATTACTAAATTCATCTTCACCGTGTTTTTCTCCTCACAATTCTACTTCCTTTGGCCATTTTACTTTCCACTGTCCCCCTCGGTCAAGTCTGTGCTCCTTTGCTTCCAGCATCTCCTCCGTCACCTCGTGCCTCCTGGCTTACTCTCAGCCTGTGCCCATACACAGGGTGCTCGGTGGACAGCACGCACCGTTAGGGTTCCTGGCAGGCAGAATCAGGGGCTGGGTAGGTGTTTGTTTAATCTCGGTGTGCAGAGGCGTGCAGGCTGGCTTACATCTTCACGTCCCAGGTCACTGAGAACTTGAAAACCGGAATCCTCCCCCCCCCACCCCTAGACACTGACTCTGTTGTTCTGCCCTGGGGGAGTGGGCAGGGGATGTGTCAGTGTACTTGAAAAGCTTCCCAGTGAATTTAAGGTTAGTATAATGCATGCCCAGGCTTGAGAGCCACCCCCCAGCTTTGACCCATATTGCAAAGTGATCTGCTCAAAAGAACCTTCTCTTTCCCCAGATAGTTCGGTTTCCCTGAGGACAATGTAGTCAAAAAGGAGGAAGAAGGAGGAGGAAACATGCCTTTTTCCTTCCTTAGGTACGGGAAGCTCACAGAACCTAAAGTAAAGCTCGGAGGCCTGACGACACGTGTCCCAAGGAGGAGGGGACACTTGGTACTTCTGTAGCCCCTCCAAGAAGGCCTCCCGAGGTGCTGTCGGAATCCCACTGGGAAAGCATGTCCAGGCCTTCTTTTAGGGGACACGCTACATACACCACAGATGCCTTGACTCCTGTCCCAAGAGTGTAGAAGGGGGTCAGTTAAAGGAGGAGCCGTACTTACTTGCTTACACAGTGGGATAGATCAAGGGCACTGAAACACAAGTATAAGCTCATTTCTCATTTTGCCTGTGGTGAAGGCTTTCCCTTTGCTCAAACAAACTACATCCTGGGCAGTAGCTGCTGAAAGGTGCTCAGTAGCAAAACACCAGCATCTGACAGGCTTCACTGAATTAAAACAATTGCTCAGTCCCCCACCCTTATGATTTTAACTGCCACGTTCCACATCCAAGCTTCCTGCGTTCTCTGCCCAGAGCATCTCTCAGATGAGCTCACACCACCCACCGTTCCTCTCTGTATCTTCATTTCTACTTCTGCCGGTTGAATGAGACTTCAGTTCTCTATCTCTACACTTTGACTACCTGATGAACTGAGGACACCTGGCCATTCTTCCTGATGGGAATGATGACTATAAATACACAAAGATACCCATACACCCACCATCCTCTCCTTGTTCTCTTCTGTGCTTTGGCTCTTAAAAAAGTTACCTTGAACTCACACAATCACTCCTGAAGTTCTGAATGGTACTGTCACTATTGCATGGCTGAGAAATCAGAGGCATTCAGGGCCACAAAAGGAATAGATTGGCTTCTCTTCATGTTTTCTTGCAAAATAAAACAAGTGAAATACCTTTACCGTGGAATAATCCTGACTCAGTTGGATAATCTAAGTGGGCAAAGGAATTACTTTAAAAATGCCCCACTGGAGTCCACACAGATGTGAGAGGAAACTTCTTCTAAAAATTTTAATTTGGGGAGAAAAGTCACACAATAATTTAACTCACCATTCACACTTTTTAAAAAGACAACTTACAGAGACTATGCTTTTAAATAAGATGCTTTGATAACACTTGTGCTCCATTTCATATCATGAAGCTGTTTTAAACTGATAAATTTTTATCCCAGAAAGTTCTAGTATGATAAATGTGTAGGAGGAAAGCCTTCCAATTTAATTTCCTGTGTTCTTAAGAATCTAAATTCTTTGAGTAGGAGCAAGTGCCAAAAATGTCCCAAGGCTCCCGAGATGGTCACCGAGTGATAGTGAATATTTCCCTTAAATCTGGAAATGATGGGGGCAGTCTTGGTGGCTTCCATCTCTAGGCTGTTGGAGAGATTTGTCAGATATAATCTGGATTGGCCAATGTGCAATGTTAATACAGAACTTCTAGAACCAAAAGTGGCTCTATTTACAGCACCAAAAGTCAATACCGTGCCACAAAGCAAGAAAACAATCTGTGAATTTTTTTAAATTACACTTATGCTGGGGCTCAGACAAGTCCTTAAGCCCTCATCTGCTACCCTCAGGGTCAGATGTGTTTTTGATTTAAGGTTTGTTTTTTGTTTTTGTTTTTATTTAAGAGGTTAATACCATGAATATTTGGTGGCAAACCCTCAGTGAACACTAGAGAAGAAACCATTAATCAAATAAAACATTTCTGCAGGGAAAAATGCCTGAACTCATAGGAAGTGGGATGAATAGAGCCTATAAATAGCTCTGGATCAGGTTTTACCACCAAATGAGTTCTTTAAAAACGTGGTTTGGAGCATTTTGGGCTTTTGTGGCGAAGGGGACGGGCCAGAGGGCTTGGAGGGCAGGCAAGACCTTTCAAGACCTTTCAGCGTCAGTGGTGAGTCCAGTTCAAATAGATGACGTGGGGGTTGTGGTTACTCAAAACTCATCTGATGCAGCCATGTTCCAGGATGCAAAGTATTTATGCATCTGTTAGAAACAACAGAGTCATCAACATACTCTCTGATCAGACGCACGTCAGGGCGGTCTGAGACTTCGCAGTTCAAGTGAGGAGAGGCGTCTGGTGGTTTTAGTCGCCCACAGAGCCGCCAGTGAGCTGTGGTTGCTGAAATCAAGAGTGAAGTAGCTGGCAAAGGACCACGAACAAAAAGAGATGCGCTTTCACGAAAGTCAGACCACGCGGGAGCGTTCCATTCAACTCTGAGCGCTAGATGGCGGACTCCCAAATCTAAGTGCCCTGAGAGAGTCTCTCTGATGTGGGCAGGCGGGTACATGTGACAGAACTGGGAACACAGCAGACACGGAAGCCTTCAGACTGTCGGTGGGAGCCAGAGCCCAGATGTTTGGATGGGAGAGAGAAATCATTTTCAAACAATTGCCCTGTTAAAGGATTATCTTTTGAATCCTTCTTTGTAAGACATTTTTTTCCCAAAGTGAATCATCACTCCTAATCTCTTTTTTGTCCATGTACTTAGTTTTAAAGAAGGTTTTCCATGGGTTAATAGTAGTCATTCAATACAGTGCTTTGTTGAACACAGTCTCAGATGGCTGGCTTTAAGGGGACAAGTGCAGTGATGACAGTGCAAGTGCAAGAAAACTATTATAAAGAAAAAAGTAGGTACAGAAGGTGAAGAAGATCCTTCTGAGGAGAGACCGCAGGGCTGGTTACAAGAACAGGCACGGAGATAAAGCAAAAAGCCTTCATAAAGAAGGGACACTCGGGACTGGCTCTGAAGAGGGACCGAGCGCCGGTAGCGGAAGAAGAGGCCGCAGGGAGTTTCAGAGAAAGGCTGCATCGAAGGGGGAGGTGGGGCCGGGACGGCGGGGGCTTCAAGGACACAGCCCCCCAGACGGGCGGAGCTTGGGCACGAGTCTCAAGCTTGAGAGTGTCTCCGAATCGCCTCCTTATCACAAATCCCTGCCTTCTCATCCCCCGCTGAGCTTCTGGTTCTGGGCTGGAGGTCTGGGGAGGGGCCCGAGAACGGCAGCTGATACGCCTGGCGCTGGGCCACCTTCGCTCTGCAGGCGGTGGGGGGGCAGTGGCGCAGTCCACGGGGATGAGGCCCCAGGAGGAGAGAAGGTGGAGGCCCAGGTAAGCCATGCTGGCAGCACTATGCATTTGACAGCCTGGGGGCGGTGCCCTCCTGGCCCAGCTCTGCTCACTGAGCTCAGCTCCCAAATAGGTGTAAGGTCAGAACTCACTTCCTGCGGTTGCTACAAGCAATGAGTGTAGTAACATCTCTATGAGTCAAGCACACAGTGAAGTCAGTGTGTTTGTGAAATAAAGACGTGATAAAGTCCAGTCGGCCAGCAGCGTGAGGGATGGGTGGACAGGAAAGCCCACGAGGAGGCTGTTACAGCAGGGAAGTGGAGAAAGGCTAAGCTTCCAGACTCCCCAGGGCTGCTCTGGGGGCACTGTGGATGCAGACCACCCCCCTGACCCTTGCCCGGCACCCAGAAATCGGGTTTCTCTAGACTGGGTGGGTTTTTTCTAATTTTTAGCAACCTCTCCCATCTGTGATATTGATTTAAATATTCAAATTATAACCCTGAGAAACTAAACTAGGGAATTAGATTTGGGGGTTGGCAACAGTTATGAGTTGACTTGTGTCATCCCAGAATGGTATGTTGAAGTCACAACCTCCAGGACCTCAGAATGGGACCTCATCTGGAAACAGGGTCATTACAGACGTAATCAGCTAAGCTTAGATGGTGTCCCGTGTAGGCCCCTAATACCAGACCATCGTGGGAGGAAACAGAGCACACACAGAGGGAGGGCCACATGAAGACACCCGGGAACACGGCATCTGCAAGCCAAGGAGAGGCTGCTCAGAGCTTTCCTCATGGCCTCAGGAGGTCCTCCTGGTACCCTGGGAGGAGACAGCATCACCCAGAGCTGCCTGCACTGGTCACCTGCTGACACCAGAAGCTGTGGCCTGGTCACCTCTGGGGACGCTCCTGCCCCGGCCCGGAATCTTCTGGGGCCTCTATCAAAGCCAGTGGTTAGTTTGCCAGAGCTGCTGTAGCAAGCACCACACACGGGCAGCTTAAACGACAATCATTCACCTCTCAGAGTTCTGGAGGCTGGGAGTCCAAGATCAGGGTGTCGGCAGGGTGGGCTCCTCCCGAGGCCTCTCTCCTGGGCTGGCAGATGGCCGCCTTCTCCCTGCGTCCTCACTTTGGCTTCCCTCCGTGCACATCTGTGTCCTAATCACCTCTCCTTATAAGGACAACAGTCACATCAGATGAGGACCCACCCTCACAGACCCATTTTAACTTCGTTACCTCTGTAAAGACCCCATCTGCAAACACACTGAGTTACTGAGGGTTAGGACTTCACCATACGAAATTTCGGGGGACACAAACCAGCCGTAACCCTCAGTCTTGGGAAACAGAGAACACGAGCTAGAAAGGTGGACAGATGACACCCAGCTGCACCCAGTGCGGAGGCAGGTTATGAGCCCAGGCTTCCCTGGGACACGTCAGAGCTGGCTCAGCACGCAGGCCCTTCCTGCAGGTGCCAAGGGGCCGAGGACCCCGCACAGCCTGGCCTGGCGGCTGGCACCGCCCACCCAACCTAACCCAGGACACCCACGCCTCTCAGAGCCTTGGCTCCCCCAGTCCTACCCTGCCGTGAGCACGGGGCCATGGAGGCGAGCACATCCCAGTCCGCAGTGGACTGTGTGCTGGGGTCAGCAGGAAAGGCTGTCACCAGAATCACTGCACAGACAGACCACGCTGTGAGCCAAGTTTACCAAGACGCGGGGTGTGGGGCTTGGCAGGAGAGGGCGGGAGAGGGCAGGAGAGGAACAGCCCAGGTGAGGGAGTGCCCCTTGAGCCCACCCAGGGCCCAACAGCCCCAGAGGGAGGAGCAAACTGGACAGAGTGGGCCCTACAGCCAAGGTGATAACCTCGGGGCATCTTTGCTTCTCGTGATGGGAAAACGCAAGGAGCACGTGGGTTTCTGTCCACGGTCACGTGCACACACGCACACACAGGTAGTAGTTATCGTGGGAAGCCGTCATCTTCCACTGCATCTTTACTCCAAGGGACATGTTAAGTATGCCAAGCTGTTTTTTCTTTTTCGAAACATGGCTATTTTGGGAGACAGAACACTTTCCTATTATTTTTTGCCACAGTCCTCAGAAACTGTAGTATTTTGTTGTTGATGTCATCATTTAAAATGAGTTCCTTTTCCTAAAGAAGCCAGAACTCGTGGATGGGAAATAGGATGAATTAATCTCCACTATGGGAAACGTATGCCAATAAAATACCAGCTATTCATTCACGTATTCAATCAATGGCTAGTTATCGATTACCAGCCCTGTGCCGGGCACCATGCTGGGTGCTGGACTCGTTGGAATGTACTTCATTTTGAGGACACCCGGACCAGAACATCCCCCCACCCCGCTCACCAGAACATCCCCCCACCCCGCTCACCAGAGCATCCCCCCACCCCGCTCACCAGAACGTCCCCCCACCCCGCTCACCAGAAAGAATATCCCCCCACCCCGCTCACCAGAACATCCCCCCACCCCGCCCACTAGAACATCCCCCCACCCTGCAGTCATTTACGTTGTCACTTACCTCTCTGAAGAGCAGCTCCCCATCTGTCAACAGCTTTGAAAATGTCCCAGCCACACTCCAAAGGGCTGCTCGGGCCTGTAGTAGGAAATAAAGAAAAAGAGAGTGTGAAAAACTTAAAAATCAGAAGAAAACTCTCAACTCCAAAGAATCAAATCAGGGGCTTCCCTGGTGGCGCAGTGGTTAAGAATCCGCCTGCCAATGCAGGGGACTCGGGTTCGAGCCCTGGTCCGGGAAGATCTCACATGCTGCGGAGCAACTGAGCCTGTGCTCTAGAGCCCGGGAGCCACAACTACTGAGCCTGCGTGCCACAACTACTGAAGCCCGCACGCCTAGAGCCCGTGCTCCGCAACAAGAGAAGCCACCGCAATGAGAAGCCCACGCACCGCCACGAAAAGTAGCCCCCGCTCACCACAACTAGAGAAAGCCCACGCGCAGCAACGAAGACCCAACGCAGCCAAAAATAAATAAATAAATAAATTTATATAAAAAAAAGAATCACATCAGGATAAATATTTTTCTCCTTGTTAGTCAATAGTGTGCCAAAGAAGCCCTTTGAGGAGTGAATTCACACATATACCAATTTCTGGGACAAGAGCTGTGGATGAGAAAATAGGGTCCCCTCTCCAGGAGGACAAAACTGCAGCAGGAAGAAGTGGAAACCCCACAGGCTCCTCACGGGAGAATCAGGGGTGAGGATTCCCCGCCGGACACACGGCCCCGTCGACAATGTGCATGGGGCTTAACATCTGAATGGGAATCCCCATAATGAAACCCCCATGTTTATTACACCGTGTAATGCAAAACAACGGCTGGATGCTCTCCTTTGAGAGGAAAATAATTTTGAAACAAAGAGTGACAGAAAGAGATTTCTTTTCATTCTTTTAATGTACAACCTCCTTTCAAATGTAGGAGTCTAGCTTCTGGTGTTTTCAGGTACCTGTGTTAACTTTTTAATGAACATTTTGGATAGCAGTGTAGTGTAATTAAGCAGAGATCTTAGGGAAAAATATGAATTCTCACTGTTCTGCTCACTTATGAGAGCTCTTGAGAGGTTTAGGTGACGAGTACCCCTCAGGATGAGGAGTCCCCTCCTCCCGTCCTTTCTTGAATTAAGTTGAATTAAGTCGGTTGCCTAATTTCTCAGTAAAGCAGTGAGAATTCATGCTGAGAAGGGTGACACCCAGGCTCTGAATCAGACGTCATTGCTACGAAAAGCTTTATTTCTTAATAATCGGCTCATTTTTTTTAGCTTCTCAACCAATGACCCCTGCCTTATTTGCATAGTCTGGACAATATCTTCCCCTTTCTTTCCCTGGGTTAGCGTCATACAATTTGCCCAATTTTGTAAAATCTAATTATGAATCAAGGGCTTCAAAAATATTGCTGCTCTTATCGGACCTAGCTCAACTTCTAGAATTCTTAAATATGTGAATAATGTAAAAGTGCTTAAAGACCTTATAGGCTCAAGTGTACTCATTTCATCGCTATATATAATTGCAAAATATTGAAACAGATCATTTCAATAGATAACTTATTCAGTCCCTATGTGTTAAAGGCCTGCTCTGCATCCAGAATTATGCACTGAAGATACTTACGAGCCAATTCAACGCTAAAGGCAAGGTTAATCAAACGATGGAGGACTTTTAAAGTGATACGTACGTAATAAGATAGAAAAATATCCATGATGTATTGTTAAGTAGAAATAATCAGAATACGAAAGTATTTACAAAGAATGAGTAGAGCTGTTCTTTAAGGAGGAAATGTCAAAAAGTATGCGGGCTTCCCTGGTGGCGCAGTGGTTGATGCAGGGGACACGGGTTCGTGCCCCGGTCCGGGAGGATCCCACATGCCGCGGAGCGGCTGGGCCCGTGAGCCATGGCCGCTGGGCCTGCGCGTCCGGAGCCTGTGCTCCACAACAGGAGAGGCCACAACAGTGAGAGGCCCGCGTACCGCAAAAAAAAGTATGCAAAATAATAAAAATGAGAAAAGAAACACTTTAAGGGAACACACGAATAACAAAGATTGAATTGGGCTTTTTCCTTTCTACTTTCATGTATCTTTCAATTTTCATTATTAATATATTACTCCAATAATGGAAAAGAGACATGCTCACAGAATAACGGAGCTAAATCCTATTTGTAGACAGAACAGAATCTATTTAAAAGTTTAAAAGTTGCTTAAAAGAAAAAAACCACACTGATGGGGATATGTCAAAGGGACACAGAAGCCAACTGAAAGATCTCCCAAGGGCCAAAGCTGGAACAATTTGAGTAACAAAATAAATAAAGTAGTACTGGGTTATAAACCAGAGGGTAAAATAAATAGTCATGAGTCTACACTGGTATCAGTAAATAATTCCGTAAATAAATGGAGGAGAAGAGACATTTTTCCCATGCAGAAGATTTCCAGACAATTAATGTAGATAATTGGCCTTCAAAGAGGTGAAGCACCACATCCCCCCCTTAAGTGCTCACTATGCAAAGTGACTTGCTTCCAAGGAAACAGTATAGAAAGGGAGGGAAAAGGTACCTTGATGGTGGGGAAACCCGCCAAGCACCCCTTCAGCCGGGTGACCAAGGTCAACACGCCCAGTGATTGGTCATATCAACTGCGTGACACCAGGTGATGAAACAGCCCGGCACCTCTGTGGTCTTCTGCCACCAAATCCATAACCCGGCTCGACCACCAGAAAAGCATCAGACACGTGCAAACCGAGGGGCATCTTAAAATATTCGCAGCCAGTAGCCTCAGAACCGTCAAGGTCATCAAGAGAAACTAGAGGAGACAGGACGGCCACGTGTCCTGCGGTCACCTGCATGGGATCTTGGTACAGAAAAAGGACATTAGGGAAAAACTGAGGAAATCGGGATAAAATCTGGACTTGAGTTAATAGTAAGTTATCAACATCAGTTCATCGGCTGTGACAAGAGTTACCAGATGTTAATACTGAGGAACTGGATGCAAGGTGTACTAGCTTTGACACGTTTCTGTAAATCTAAAACTGTTCTAAAGTTTATTAGCAACAACAACTGAAAGGTAAACAAGTTCCTTGAGTCTTGGTACCCGGAAGTCATAGTCACCAACCTGTCATTTACTCAGAGTTGCGTTATTCAAGAAGTCCAGTTTGTTACAAATGTAGGTGCTTATTCATAAAGTTAACACTTCATTAAGAACAGAAAGTGAAGGGAGTATTTTTATCTGACTTCTGGAAAACACAGAGTAACACACATATCCCTGACAAATGGGTTTAAAGAGGCGCTTGGTCAATTCTAGCCAATTCATGCGGAAGACAGCGCCACCTAGTGTTCTGTCACATGAATGAACCAGTGGTGGTTCTGGTTACTTCTCTTTCGTCGGCTGTACGTTACCTTAAATCCGAATTCAAAACTGAAAAGATAAATGAAATGGAAGCACATTTCCCCCATCCCTCCCAGAAGTCCTTTTAATACCAAATGACTTGAGTAATCAAACTGCAATAACTTGGTTTCATTTATAACCTCAGCCTAGAATCTTTTTTTATAAGATAAAGGCCTGATTTTCAAAACTTCAGTCCACTAATAATGAGCATGAAAGAGATCATATCAGAAATACAAACTGATGAAAAAGTGTAATAATATAGCTGCTTTTAAAAGTTACAAAATAACTTAAGCTTTATAAGATAGCAGCTCTCAATTCCAAGTGTCAGTTCTAAAAACCATAAAGCTATATTAAGTTAATATTGTGTCATTGAACCCAACACTTACATAAAGTTTCCTTGTTTAATAAGTCCATGCTTATATTAATATCAAATTGTTATTCATAAAGTTATACCTTTATTAAGAATAAATAGTAAAAGAGGAAAAATGGGGTCGATTATGGTCTAAAACGTCTCAAGGGAAAAAACCTCAAACGGTTAATTAACATATATTGGTTTTAAACCTGAATGTTTTTTCAAAACGTGTCATAGCAAACACAGCTGAGATAACTGGCACCTTTCACCTGCAAATAACCGAAGTAGCAGTTTGCCTAGAATATAAACGACCAAAGTTTATTCCCCACCTTAATTTCCTATGTGCTTTGCATGCAGAATAGATGGAAAAAACTCCACTTCACTTATCAATTTGATTGACACTCTTTGCCCTCTTCTGACCACAAAGGCATGTTAAGATAGGCCCCTGAAGTGATTATTTCTGTCTGTCATACCTTAGATTAAGAGGTATGTCCTTGGGTTAAGAAGTCATCTTCCATAATGGAAAAGAATCTGAAATAGAATATGTATGTATGACTGAGTCACTTTGTTGTACACCTTGGAACATTGTAAATCAGCTGTACTTCAATTTAAAAAATAAAAAAGAAGTCACCTTCCAGTTAAGATTAGTTTTTGCTTTTGTTTTTCAGATTTCACTACGATTTAGTTAAGAGAGAACTTAAAGGCCCTGTTAAGAATTTATCCAGGTTATAATTGATTCTAGCTTTTTCCGTTTGTTTTTTCACACAGAAATTTCCCTGAGCTTTGGGGCTTAATCATTTTCCTGACACCAAGCCACTGACTGTCCACCTTAAAGGATGGTACCTGAGGTGTGATGCGACAGCTGGTAATTTACCCCATCGTAATAGCTGATGTCTTTCCCCCTGGGAATATTATAACTAACCAGCTACCAAACAAACAAACAAAACCCAACAGTGAAATGCAAAACACAGAGCAGAGAGGCGTGGGTTATTTTCTCCTGAAGAGAGATTTCAGCCTGCATGGTAATACAGCACAGCACAAGGATTTGGGCAAAACCCTGAGGCTCAGTTGGCCCTGTGATTGCTGGGAACTGCCCCCCTCTTCCCGGGAAGCGTGTGTGCCCCACCGGGCACCGTGGCTCCTGTGCGGGGCCCTCACCTGGGATCCGGCTGCAGAGGCCCAGCCGGAGTCTCCCCATGCCCTGAGCCCACGCCAGGTTCTCTGGGCTGCATCTAACCCGGTGACACTCAGGAGATGAAACAGAGGCGGTCTCCCCCTGGTCCAGAACGCTTTTCCTGGCGAGAGAAATGAACAGAATGCGAAGCTGCCTCACCCAGGGATGAGTCTGGAGCAGAAATCAGGAGTTAGGAACAGAGTCAGAGGCCTGATCCCACAGCTGCTCTGGCCTGGGCTGGGCACCTGCCCGCTGGGCTTTAAACAAACAGCGGGGATTTGGCTAAAGAGGAGACCCAGGACCAACAGGTGAGCCGCGACAGGGCGGTGGGCAGAAGGCCCCAGAAGCTCTGGCCCAAGGGGCCGGGTGCTTCCTCCTGCCAACACGCTCTGGGCAGTTATTTGAAGTCCTTCGGACACGTTTTCCTTTCACGACAGGAACGGATCAGAACAACCATCACATTGGGTCCATGGCTGAAGTGAGCCAAGGTCAGCCGGGAGACAAGACCGGCCCCTGTTCCATGAAGGAAAACACCTTTGACACCCAGGCCCTAGAGGAAGAATACAGCCTGGGTCTTACAATGATCTAAGACGAACAGACGTTTATTTTATGGCAGTACAGGTTTTATGATTCTGAAGATTTTGCTGTTTTGTCCTCCAATTCTAGGACGTTACAAAGACAGCACTGGAGCTGCTGTTACCTGTCTAATAAAAGCTGGGAATCCGTGCGTTCCTTTCAGGGTCTGTACCGTGAACGCTCTGCACTGTGTTGCTTTTCACAGATTTGAGGGTCTCCTAGCATGAGAGTCTCGGGACTTTGAGAGGGTGGGAAACAGGCCCCAGACAGGCCGAGGAGAGGCGGCTTTTCCCGGGACAAAGCACCAGGAGGAGGGGCTGCCTCCAAGATCACCTCCAGCAAAAACAGACATAGAATGGCCCTGGCCGGGGCTTTAACAGGAGCGGGCTGGAGTCTTCGTGGTGCTGGGAAGGAACAGCCTTTCACTGCGCTAAGATGTTCTCTCGCAGGATAGTGGGTCCTCAGTTAGGAAGACAGAATGCATCCCTCTGTGTTCTCCTGAGAGAGTGAGGTTTCAACAGATACACCCCTCCCTGCAACAGCCAACGGCAAAAGGGATGGTGAGTTTAGTTGAATTTTCTGAGAGATGTCCATTCACAATGATTATAAGTTGATTTTAAAATAAATGAAAATTAGAGACAATAAAAACATTTCCCTGTTGATTGAATGAAGTAGGATTTCGGTTTTCATGCAACTCCTCGCCATTTTGCTGTATGGCAACTTCAGGAATTGTTCATTGATTTTGCAGAATTGTATACGTCATTGTAATTAGAGTAGATTTGAACCGTTTTCATGCCTTTCAGTGCCATCTGTAGGTGAGTTGAGGTCACAGAGATTTATAATTGAATCGAGTCTGGAGTACACGTCACCGCAGGTGTGAACACAATTCCCCATCAACTTCCCCGGGGAAAGATTCATGACCAAGGGGTTATTTTATTAAATTTTCAAGTAAAAAAAAAAAAAATCCCTCAGGAATCTCTTCAAAGTTGCAGTAAAATTTTGCAATGCTTTAAATTCGCTCTAATAAGTTTCATGCCAATCCTGAGTCCCTGGGATCGATAAAAACACATAAAGATATATTGTGCTGTGTGTTCTGGAACCTTCTGGAGAACGGAAGGGACGTTCTCCAGGAAGCAGGGTGGGGAGAGAGGGCAGAGAGGGTCCTGAGGGCTGGTTTAAATATTCCCGCCAGCTTGGCCTCCCGTAGCTTCTGCCCCAAGGATCTTTCTGGTTGTGACCAACTCTCCAGATTTGCGGCGGACGGTTTGCCCTGGGGCTGCATGTCTCGGGTGCAAGGAAAGTCTTCGATTTGCCACGTGTCCAGCTTTTTCTTGTCATAGGAGGGGAATAACGACTTCTGAACTCTCTACCTGTCAGAGCAGAAATCACATCAGCATTCTGGATCACCTTGGCAAACACAGCTCTTAACTAAGGCCGCAGCTAGGAAATTAGAAAGAGAGAAAGAGGAAAATCTACTCTTCTGGTTGCAATTGATTTTCATAAGGCCCATCTGAAGAAACATTTGAGAACCAGATGAAGAATATCTTTGAAGTGGATTTGGAATTAAGCAAAGCAGAAAGGAATCTCCTAACAGTAGGGTGACCTTATAATTTCGCATCCAAACTCGGACATTTCTGAGAGTAAAAGGCAGCGGTTTCATTAATTACATGGGGAAAATTCGTGCATCTCCTTGGATTTTAAGTACTGTGTACATTTATTTAAAGATGAAAAATAAGTTAGCATCTGTCATTTGCTAGAGCTGCTTTCTAACAAAAAAAAACTTGTTTTATTGAGTGTTACTAGATTCTTCACTGTAGCCACTTTCAAATAAAACTCCTGACACTTCTCCAAGCTTGTCAATGCCAGTATTCTCAGTTCCTTAGTCAGGATTAAAACAATAGAGTCCTCTTATAATCATGGAGTATAACACCATTCCTACTAATGGTGCTGTATAGTCATGGGAGGAAGTTAGCATCCATCCATTCAGGATTAGGGGAAAACTATTTCTCTTTAACATAATCATAGAATTCTAGAATTCAAAGCTGAGATCTCACTTAGTCTCAACCTTTATATACCAGGCATCTGAGTCCCAGAGAGGTCAAATCACTTGCTCAAGGACAAACAAGAAGGAAGAGCAGAACTGGAACCCACGTCTCCCGATACTAAGTCCTGTGCACTTGTCAGCTCCACGGTGTGTGCATGTTTGCACATATGTAGTCACGGCGTGCCCACTGCTGTGAGATTCTCATCACAGACTCTGGCTTTCATGCTGCCTGGAATGTAATGACCAGAATCTTCCTTTTTTGGACATCTTCCATTTCATTTGTGGATTTCTCGGTCTATCACTTGGTAATATTAATTACAGTAAAAAGACTCTGTATAAGATCTACCCTTGTAACTGATTTTAAAGTGTCTGATGCAGTATTATCGGCACAACGTTGATCTCTAGAATGCATTCATCTTGCATAACTGACATTTTATACGTTTCACTAGCAACTTCCATTTCCCACTCCCCACATCCACAAATAGTCACAATTCTATTCTTTGCTCCCCTGCGTTTGACTGTTTTGTTTTTATTTTTATTCTGATTTTACTTCATGCCAATACTGTGGAATTTAAATATTTTATGTCCTGTCTCTGACGTGATTATCTAGTTTTGTTCCTTGTTTCCTGTGTTTTATTTTTTGCAACTTGTTCCTGTTTTGAAGGCCTTGAAGGCATTGGGGCTTGGGGAAAATCGTTTCTAGTATAGAGTCTGATATTGTGAGGGAAGCTTTTCACATCCAGACAGGGATGTAGCTGTGGTTGAGGCTATCCAGTACCCCTAGAAATGGTCAAGCCCTACCGTTTCTACTGCTTGGAGAACGAGGTGAACCTGGGTCTCGTAGGCCACTGGGGATGCTAGCGGGGTGTGCACTGGAGATGAACGGGACTTTCTGTCCCTTCTATTCCAACTGGAACTCATTTGAATGAAAAAAATGTCTGTGTGCCAGGCACTGCGTGAATTGCTGCCATGGATCAGATGGAGTAAAACAGATGCCCGGAGAAAGCAGTCAGCTGCAGTCCACTGGCGGTAGGAGAGGTGGGAGACACCCAAGTTAACTCAGGACCAGACTGAATGTGCCATTTACCCAAGAGTGCTATCAGGGGTTCAGTGAGAGAGCGTCTCAGTTCTGACGCATCAGTTATCAGGTTGTCATACAATTCACCTGTTGAAGTGTCTCTCTCCCTTCCAGACACAAGCTCGTCAAGGCCATGTCTGTGCATCCTTGCCTGGCACAGAAACAAGTGCTTCATAAGTGCTTGTGGCTGGAGGGGCGAGGTGCAAGCAGTGCTATGGGGATTCAGAGGTGGGTGAGAACAGGGCGACGTTGGGCAATCAGGGAGGGCTCCACAGAGAAGGTGTTCTTTGAGACAAACCTCGAAGAAGTGATAGGATCATAACAGACTCAGATGGGAAAGACAGTAAGTATAGGATACAGGAGCAGGGAAGGTCACTTGACCAGAGCTGATGGCTGGAAAGGAGGGCCGGAACCAGATTTTTATTGAGATATGATTAACATAGAAATTTATATTAGTTTCAGATATAAAACATCATGATTCGATGTTTGTATCTATTGTGAAATGATCACCACAGTAAGTCTAGTTAACATCCATCACCTCACAGTTACCAATATTTTTTCTTGATGAGAACTTTAAGATCTTCTCTCTTTGCAACTTCTAAATATAAAATATAGTATATGAACTATAGTTGCCATGCTATCCATTACATCTCCCTGACTTACTTATTTCATGACTGCAAGTTTGTACCTTTTGTTTCCCTTCATCTATTTTGTCCACTCCAACCCCACCCCCACCTTCTGGCAGCTACCAATCTGTTCTCTGTATCTATGAATTCAGTTTTTGTTTTTGTTTGTAGATTCTACATACAAGTGAGATCAGTGTTTTTGTTTCTCTGTCTGACTTATTTCACTTAGTGTAATGCCCTCAAGGTCCATCCATGTTGTTGCAAATGGCAGGATTCCCTTCTTTTTCTTTGACTGAATAATTTCCATTGTGCGTGCGTGTGTGTGTGTGTGTGTGTGTGTGTGTGTGTGTGTATAATACTACCAATATACTGTGTGTGTGTATATATATAATGTATAATATATATAATGTCTTCTTTATCCACATCCGCTGATGGACACTTAGGTTGCTTCTATATCTTGGCTAGTGTAAACAGTGCTGCAATGAACATAGGGAGCAGACATCTTTTCAAGTTAGTGTTCTTTTTTCCTTTGGATAAACACCCAGAAGTGAAATTGCTGGATCTACAGTAGTTCCATTTTTAATTTTTTGAGGAATCTCCATGCTGTTTCCCGTAGCGGCTGCACCAATTTACATCCCCACCAACAGTGCACAAGGGTGGCCTTCTCTCCACACCCTCACCCACACTTGCTGTCTTTTGGTTTTTTGGTAATGGCCATCCTAACAGGTGTGAGGTGGTATCTCGCTGTGGTTTTGAATCACATTTCCCAGATGATTAGTGATATTGAGCAACTTTTC